AAAGTGGGAATAGAGGGATCATGTCTCAAAATAATAAAAGCCATATATGACACACCTACAGCCAACATCATACTCAATGAGCAAAAATTAAAACCATTTCCCCTAAGAACAGGAATAAGACATGGATGCCCACTTTCACCATTTCTGTTTGACATAGTACTAGAAGTAGTAACCATAGTGATCAGACAAGAAGAAGAAATAAAAGGCATCCAAATTGGAAAAGAAGAAGTAAAACTGTCATTGTTCGCAGATGACATGATATTGTACATAGAAAACCCCAAAGACTCCATCAAAAAGCTACTCGACTTAGTAAATGCATTTGGCAATGTAGCAGGATACAAAATGAACACCCAGAAATCTATAGCCTTTTAGTTCCTTCCTTTTTACAGCAGCATAGTAAATGGTTTGGAAACATAGCAGTGTATAAAATTAACACCCAGAAATCCATCGCATTTTTATACACCAATAGTGAATGCTCAGAAAGATAAACTAAAACAGCAATTCCATTTACCATTATAACAAAAAAATTAAGATACTGAGGAATAAACTTAATCAAGGAGGTAAAAAAAACTGTACTCAGAAAACTACAGGACATTGAAAACAAAGATAGAAGATATAAACAAATGGAAGAATATACCGTGTTCATGCATTGGTATACTCAACATCATTAAAATGTTCATACTACCCAAAGCAATCTATAGATTCAATGCAATCCCCATTAAAATACCAATGGTAATTTCACAGACCTAGAAAAAACTCTCAAAAATTCATACGGCATAAAAAAAAAAAATCCCGAATAGCTGCAGCAATCCTGAGAAAGAAGAACAAAGTTGGAGTGATCTCAATACCAGATACCAAGCTATATTACAAATACACTGTTCTCAAAACTGCTTGGTTTGGGCACAGACATATAGATCAATGGAACAGAACAGAGAACTCAGAAATCGACCCAAGCCACTACGCTCAATTAATTTTTAATTTAATTTTTACCTCAAGTAAGGAAGATAAATTGTCAGATTACATACAAAACATTCATTTTAAATTTTGAAAATATTTCTTTTGTATAATAATCAGGCAATAAATCTTTAGACTTCAAACAATTGCACTTTGAAAATAAGACCGTGGTGAATGGCAGAATGACAAGATGTTTAGCCAACTAAAAAAAAAATCAGGTGCAGATAAGTTCTGACATTTTAAAATTTGTGACAAAATACTTTTAAAAGACAGCTTAACTGTCTTAGTTTCTATCAGTGAGGGAGGTCCCCTGAAATGCAACTGCTTGGTCTCTTTATCAGTGCTTGGACAAATTACTAAAATGTCTAGCCCCTATAGGCTTTACTGTATCTATAACTTGTAGTTACTGGCCTCTACCCAGAGTCAGAGGTTAGAGATTAGCCCAAGAGCTGAGTCCTTACTGAAACAGATGTGTTAGGTAGACTAACACATACCATTTTGTGTTCCTTCAATACCATTTTCTCTGAGCTCATTCCAATTCACAATGCTGTGATCTCTTGGATTTCATTGAATGTGACACATGAGGATGCTATCATAAAGACTTTGATAAAGGGTTTCTAGAGTCAAGGTGCATGTTTAGGGCATTGTGCTTCTTAGTCCATAGAAGTTGTTACGAGAGTTAGGAAAATATATTCCGATCTCAAGTCAGACTTAGAACTGGCATCCCTGAATAAGGCTGTTTCATGAGGAAATTGAGTATCCTGTGGTCAAAGGAAGTGCTGTTTTTCTTGTAAAGTTCTTTGTTTTCATGAAAAGGCTCTCTGGATCACAGAGTGTATTTGTTTCAAGATAATTCAATTTAAATTCACTCATGCTCAGAAGTCTCCTGAAAAGCCTTCCTTCAAGTTTTATAGTGAATGTTTTATAGGCAACACATACCTGATGAATTTTGAAAAGTCATTCATATGCCATCAATTTTAATCATCAGAGCTGGGTTTCCAAAACCTACATGGTTCTGTCATGTGGCATCTGTAATTAATAACAATGCTATTTTTAAAAACAGTACGAATATTTTAATAACAAATCCTTCTTAACACTATTAAGAGGCAAATGCTTAGCTGTAAATTATGGGTTGAGGAGATTCAGCTTCAAATGAATTTTCATTTTTTTTTTTTAAGCTTTCTTGCAGTTTAGATATGCTGCCATCAGGTGGTAGTAATATGTCACATCCATGTGGCTCCACAGATGACATTCTGCTTAAGGTCACCAGTTTAACCCACAAAGATTTATAATCATGAATGTACAGATTTTCATATAAAAAATAAAATAACATAGTATATCTATTTCATATCAGAGCTAAGGATACTTTGAATGAAACTTTAAAAACTGGTATATATTGGAAGGTTCAATTGGATACATTTTCTCTGTTCCTAGTTTGTTTGTTTATTTAATGAATATTTAGAAAACATAGAAAAATAAAATTAAAAGCACCAAATTTTATAATTCAAAGATAATTGCTTTAACCTGTTGTTTCATTTCCTTGTAGTCTTTTTTAATTTGCAATATTCAGTATGTTTTTGTTTTTTGGAGTAGAGTTCAATGGCAGGAAGAGGTACTTAGCTATCATAAGAGTGTATATACAGCATATATATTTTTCAACTTTTAAAATGACAAGCTCATGGTATCTGCTTTGTGACCTCTTAATATTCCATTTATTGAAGTTTTTCATAATTTTATATAGTCATTGCCTATTAGTAGACTATGTACATTTCTGGTCTTCAGCCATCAAGAGTATTTTGTCTCTGCCTTTTATCCACTGCCTATCAAGAAGACCATTATTTCATTGTATCTATACTTCATATTTGTTTTAACACAAAAGAATTTCTAATTTATCTCTGAGCAGCTAAATATCTTGTATTTCCTTTATTGCATTTGAAATGAAACTTCCAGAAAATTTGAACTTTCAGTTTCAATTATGATTTAAAATATAGTCTCTTTGTTATAATTTCATATCATATGAATGTTTTATAATTTTATAAATTGTATGTGATCAGGTACCACATATAAACATTTCAGGGCCTGTGATATTATGAGATGAAGCTATTACCTACTTTCTACCAAAATAATTTTTTCTTTTCTTTTTTATAGCATAGAACATTGCATTAAAGAAATACAGTCCGAAGTCAACAAACAATGTCCAGATGTGCAGTTGCAGACAACAACTGACTGTTTTGAATGGTTAAATAACTATAATTATAATTCATCCAAGTCACCTTCTATTCCCCATGGAGATTTGATAAAATTTCTCAAAACACTGGTAAAAAAAATATATATATATCTTTGCTTTATAGTGGAGTGGGATGGGTGAACAAGGAATATAATTTATTCAATTTCTATTTGTAAATAATGTTTATTTTAGTGACCATATTAGCTTGGCATTTCTAGGGGTTGGGGCTTATGTTTTGTTTTGTTATTGTATCCCCAATGTAATCCAGTGAACTATTTGGGGGTTTTTCTATGATTTTTATCAATAAAATGAAGTTTTATATAAGTGGAGATTAAACATAACTCTTGGTTGATTTATAATGTAACGTATACCACAAAGTATATATCTACCACAATTGTTTACCAGACAAGTTTATATTTATTACATTTTGTGTTCCTTCAATACCATTTTCTCTGAGCTCATTATTAAGCATAATCAGATCACAATTGATTACATCTATTAAGTAGCCTTGTCTTATCATTCCCTTCATCCTTAACCTGCAGGTATGCCCAGTTATTTTCAATCAAGGCAGCAATTTATATGAAGTCACTGTTAATTGGTAGAGAATTATTACATTGGTAATTTCTTGATACTGACAACCCTTTATGTTAAATAAGATTTTGTAGTCTTCAATAAAAACATTTATTTTATGACTCCTGTATCCACAAAGGTGGTTAACTTGCAAAAACTATTTCCCAAGAAACAGCACAAGTGTTAGAAAGCAGTATTTCCATACCTATGGTTTTGATTTAATTTAAGGAAAAAAGGGGGCACCGTTTTTGTCTAAACATCAAACATGGACTAAGGCAGATGTGGAAAATATCTTGAGGTTGTAGATGGCTTAGGATGATAGAATCAGATGAAAATAGTTTTTGGCTGTTGTTATTATTGCAGATGTCTCTTTAATGTTTAACAAGTAATAAATGAAAGAGAAAGGAAGACTATGTGCCCTGAAGCCTTATTCTTTTAAGAAAATCCTCTCACCCATTATCTCTTGAAGGTGGAGCCTTGAAGAATAAATATGGATATAGTTATTCCTTTAATTTCTATTAAGAGGCATGTGTATTGAATTTCATTAATATTGATGTAATAATGCTTTCTCATTTAATTAAAAGCAAAAGCTTTTAATTATCTTTTAATCTGTCACACATAAGTCATTCTGTATTCACTGCAGGGCAAAGGCTGCCTTAGTTTTGCTCAAATTCATTAGACTGATAGACTTATTTGAGATCTAGGTTTTTTTCACATAATTGATCATGTTATTTTGAGGAAAGAGCACATTATTAAAACAGATCCAGATTAAAATGACCTTATTATCAAGTTTTTACTTGATAAAGTTGTCAATCATTTGTCCAGCATTTTTCATACAAATATTTTTTTCATAGAAAATTTTCTATTTATTACTTATCTAGCTGTTTAAATAAGAAACAGAGGTCCTCATTATAGCTATTATCCTGAAGTTATTTTCAAAATGTAAGCAATCATACTAAATACATATTTTAAACCTCTGTAATCTACTATACTTGATCAAATATTTACAGTTATTTACCACCCTCTATTTTAAATGAGAAACCCAAGATTGCAGCACTAATATGATTCACTTGCTTTATAGAATTTACTAAAATACTGATGTCCTGGACTCTAAGGACATTTCTTTTCCATAAGTATCAAAAGGACTCAATCCATGGAGAGGAAAGAGAAGGTGCCGAAAGGCCAATACACTTTATGGCTCCATAGAGTGTAGTAGGTTGAATGGGGACAAGGAGAACAAAGCTGGGGATTCATGCTGGATTCTACACTTTATTGTATGTGATGTTTAGAAAGTCACTTAACATGCACTTCAGTGTCCTTATCTGTAGATTGGGATTTTAAATATCTATGCTACATTTCCATAATGAATAAGATAGAGACTATATAGAGAGTGCTTTTAAAATGTTTGTTTTTATTGATTTCCGGAAGAAGGGAGAGGGAGAGAGAGATAGAAACATCAATGATGAGAGAGAATCATCGGTTTGCTTCTTCCTGCACACCCACTACTGGGAATTGAGCCAGCAACCCGGGCATGTACCCTGACCAGGAATCCAACTGTTACCTCCTGGTTCAAGGGTCAACACTCAACTACTGAGCAACACTGGCCAGGCGAAAAAGTGCTTTTTATATAATAAAATACAATATTAAATCAGACATTACAGTGCTTAGAATGACTGAAAGACATTCCTGGAATTTGTCCAGGAGTTGTAGTCTGTGGTATCTTCATCAATAAAAATTTCAAAAACTTCCTGATTTTATGCCATTTGAAACTTGCTTCCATGTTTCTTGCAATCGGCTTGTTGCTACTTAGAGAATATAAGCTAATTTCAGTATTAACTGAAATATACATAATTAGGGAAGTCATCATGTAAAAGGAATGTATACATGTAAAATTTAAAGTCCAGAAAGAAAGTAATTTTTTTTTGTCCCTTTACTTTTCATAATTACACCTACCATTGTTTTCTCTCAGCATGAAAAGTATAATGAAATTCTCTCATAGCATCTTTTAGGGAATGATTCTGAGAGTATTGTTTCCCTATTTTGACTTAGTTATTTCTTTGGAGAGAATTGAAATTTTCTCAGATTAATTTCCAAAGTAAAATCTTCCTTGACATGGCTCTCACAAAGGAATTTAAATGAAAGTTAAAGTCTTTAAATGTGTTAAATTTTATTTCTCAGGATGGCAGCTATTAGTTACCCCTGGGCACATGCTATATTTAAAGGTCTCCATTTTTATGTTCATTTGGAGTTTTATAATAATTATACTCATTCAGGCATGAAAATTATCCACCAGCAACTAATTAGGGTATGATCTTGAGCTTATTTTAGGAATACACTTCAATTGATATTTTACTATAGGTTTTTCTTTAGAATTTTCGAGCTGCGGTTTTTCTACTGCCTACATTATATCAGTGGTGGATAACAATGAAGGGTAAAATCTATATGTCTAGAAATCTAATTGAAAATATAGTTCATTCTCTGGGCTTTGCAAATTTAAACAATTCGTAAAGCTAACACTCTAAAATGTCTGACCTGATTAAATGTCAAATGCAAAAATAAAAAAAAGCCCACCTTGAAAAGCATCAGAGTATTAATTCTAATTTGAAATGAATTATCCAATTTTATATGACTGTAGAAATCTTTTTGCCTGCTACTCCTTTAATTAATCACATTTCTAACGTTATAATTTCCTTCCATTAGCAAGATTTGTTGAAGAATGAACAAAATCAAGAAGAAATGATATTGGATTTACTTTGGGACCTCTCCTGGCAGAGCAGCATTTCATTTCCATCAACTCTAAGTTGGACATCTTTCCACTTCCTCTCTAGGACTTCTCTTCATTCTGTTGAAGATCATTCCTCTATGGATGTAAAGTCTGTATGGGATGATATCAGATTACATCTTCGACGCTTCTTAGTGGGCAAATTACAAAGCCATAATGAAATAAACAATTTGCAGCAGAAAATTCTGTTGAAAAATCAGTGCATACAACAACTCTTGTTTCTTTATCCAGAATCAGAAGTTATAGTCAAGTATCAAAATATACAGAATAAACTTCTGCAGAACTGCTTTCCTTCTTATAGCAGGGAATCAAATTTAGATGTAATGGTTCATGGATACCAAAGTACAATGCTTAGGTTATACTCAATGATAGAAGAGGATTTTAACACACTGCATGAAATTTTAGCTCCATCCTCAACAGTGAAATTCATTAAAGAAACCTACCTGGATACTGTTACAGAAGAAATGTCAAAATTTCTTGCAAATTTTTGTGAGCTGCAGTTCAAAGAAAGTGCTGCCCGAGTGACTAAAACAAGCAAGAGTTCCAGCAGGCATAGAGGAGCAGTGCATGCTTTGGGTTAGTGATTTTTAAAATTTCTGTTTGTCTTAAAGCTTTTGATATCTTTAATTTTCTAACATTTTTCTATTTAGTTAAACCTAATTGAAAACTTGAAAATAAATAAAATAAATATTATGAAATTTATTTACACATTTTTCATATACATTTCCTTTTCTGTAAGTATAGTAATAGAAGTGTTTTCTTTCCTGTTATTTAAATTATTAAAACTAATGGAAATGTAAGACAAAAATATTGCCAATAGGAACTTTGGCTTTTTGATTGCATAAATTTTTCAATGAAACTGTGTGTATGTGTGTATATATACATATAAACACACACATATATCTATATAATGGAAAAGTATTATTTTTAATCTGTTGTATCTTCCAAAGCCGAAGTATTATTACATAAAAAGAATTAATTGAAAATTTGTTGAAATTAGCATTATTTAGAACTGGAGGTTTAAGATTATAATATTTCAGTCAGTCAATTCCAATAAAGAGCTATTATGAAATACTAATTATAAAGTTATATATAATTGGTTACAGAGGCATAGCAACTTAACTACAGCTGATTTTTAAAGTTCCTTTAATATTGCTATAAAATATATACAAATAAAAGATGATTTGAAAATCCCTAATTTTATTCAAAATAGAGACAAAGGAAAGAAACTATTGTGATGCAATTAACTCTTTCCTGTCATCATTTAAATTTCCCACCAGTGGAGAAAAATCAAGGTAAAAAACATAATTATTTTGAAAATTATGATTAGACATGCTTTTATATAAAACTCAGGTATATTTCTAAATAGGTTTATAAACTATATTTTTTAAGTATTTGAAAATTATCATTTGCTGAATTGCTATCTTTGACTTCGTGATCACTTTATACAAATTTATATAGCTCACTATATTTTTGCTTATCTTCCTTAATAAAATGCAAGAGTACCAAATTACTATGCTATATGATTTTTCAAATAATTGAATGTTGTCTCTTAAAATTTTCTGTTTTCCTGCAGAAGTAGAGCTGTGTCAGCCAATTTAGGTGATGTCAGAACATAAAATAGGTTAATTCAGGAACAGTACAATTTTACTCAAAGCAAATAGATTTTCATTTTAATTGTTAACACAAATTTTAAAAGCACTACATGAGTGTACTTATTTTCTAATTTCTTATATTCTCTAAAAGAATTTCTGCTTTCATATAACGTATTTTCAATGTATAGTTTTTTATGTGCTAAAAATAGTTTATAACAGAAAAGATACATATGGTTGAAAATATGTGTAAGTTATTTGGTGTCTTTAAGGCTGATATTAAGGTGTTTTCCCGTTTGTGAGAGAAAGCTATGTATGTCGGCTTTAATAACAAAATTTGAAACATTTTCCACAAGTCCAGGTGCACTGATCTTTCTCAGACTCCTTTATCTGAACTTTGGTATAAATCACTTGTTACATGAATGAGTTCCATATGTCAGGCACTGTGCTAAGTACATTACATTCCTTATTATCCTAATTTCATAAACAAGGAAAGCAGCTTAGATTAGCTTGCCCTGGATCATGTTGTACAGAGGCAGAATTCATATGGAGATCTTTATGTCTCTAAGACCTATGCTGTCAACCACTATGCTATTGGACCTTTTCTGAAAGTGTATAGCTAAACGCTTGTCATTTGTAAGAGAAATTTTAAACAGTACTGTTTGGGTGGGCTCCCTGAAAATTCAGTTCAGCTCTATGAGGCAGTTACCATAAGCCGGCCATTTAGCAGCTACCAGGTCTAAAGTTCTGAGCTAGACATATTAAGGGAAAGAAAACCAAATGAGTAATTGCCGCTAATGCTGTATATACTGCTAACCCAGCTCCAAATTGATCAACATTACTAATATTTGACCCAGTGACCAAATTTTATTTATTAAGGAAATAGTTTAAAATGAGTAATATAACAATTTATTCATATTTATTAATAAAACTTATGATAATTTATTTTAAATAAAATCTAGATTGGTTTGAATGGGTTGTATGTTATATTATCTTTAATATATGTTTACTAGAGACCCAATGCACAAAATTTGTGCACTCTGGCCGGGGTGGAGGGGTGTCCTTCAGCCTGGCCTGTACCCTCTCACGGTCCAGGAGCCCTGCGATCGATTGCCCCAAAGAGGTAAGCCCTGCCCACCCAGCTGGGGCTCCGCAATGGATCACCCCTGCAGCGGGAGGCCCCACCCACCCGCTACAGCCCATCAGTCAGTGGCCTGGGCCTCCCTCTTTGGGGCAATTATTGAGCTCCCCAATTGATCAATCGCTCTGCCAAACAGTGGCCTGGGTCTCCCTCTGCAGGGTGCTCATGAGGCAATGGCACACACCCCCCTCCACCAATTGCATCGCACCCACCTTGGCTAGCCTGGCACCAGTGCATGTCATAGCATGGTGGTCCAGAAGGTCATCTGGATGGTCATTCTGCTGTTCAGTCGTTCGGTTGATTTGCATATCACACTTTTATTATTATAGATATCTATATGCTTGCCAAGTCCTTGATATTCTGAAACTAAAGAAAGACATTCCTTAAGTAACAATAGTTAACATTAATTGGGTCAGACATTGATGTACATTATCATATTTAACCTTTCATTATCTCAACTACCCAATAGGCTAGGTACCATTGTTTATTATTTGTATTGTATAGTGAGAAAACTAAGGCATGGAAATATTAAGTAATTTACTCAAGGTTCCCAAGTGAAGCTAGGATTCAGACTCAGGTCTGTCTTACTCCAGAGACCTTACTCTATGACAGTGTTCTACTGCCTAAAAAAACAGGATGGAAATAGCGTATTCCATTAAAAACACTCTTCTGTGTGCTAACTCTACTTTAGGGTCATCTTCATTTTACTTTTATCTAAACTATCCTACACTCTTCTCATTTGAAAACTACATAATGCCAATTTGAAAGTTTTTGCTTATAATTCCTATTTTGTGATCTGTTGATATATCTTAAGCCAGGGGTCCTCAAACTATGGCCTGCGGGCCACATGCGGCCTGCCGAAAACATTTATCCAGCCCGCCGGGTGTTTTTGCCGCCGCTGCCTGTCCTGCTTAGCAGCTGACTCGTTCCGGACCCGCAGTGCGCATGTGTGGAATGTCTGAGGGACAGTGAACTGGCCCCCTGTTTAAAAAGTTTGAGGACCTCTGTCTTAAGCTATCCTGGTATGTATTTGAGCCTCTTTGTTTCAAGATTTATTGAGATATAATTAACATCTAACATTGTATAAGTTTAAGATGCACAGTGTTTTGATTTTATACACTTATATATTGGGAAATAGTTACCATTGTAACCACCCTAATACCTCCATCACATCACATAATTAGCATTACTTTTTAGTGGTGAGGAGGGCAATTAAGATCTACTCTTTTAACAGCTCTCAAGTATATAATATACTAGAGGCCCGGTGCATGAAATTTGTGCACGGTTGTGGGGGGGTTCCCTCAGCCCAGCCTGCAATGATGCCAGCGTCCCTCACCCCAGACTCTGGCCAGAAGCCCCCCCCTCCCTCCACATAGCCGGGGTGTGAATACTGGGCTCGTGTCGCCAGGGGCAACGTGAGCCCAGCGTCCTGCACCCAGGGGCCCCTCCCCTTCCTCCGCGCAGCCGAGGAGCAGATGCTGGGCTCACATTGCCGAGTGACGCAGCCAGTGTCCTGCCCTGGCCGCTATGGGCACCGCATTCTTTGTTGCAGAGTGATGGTTAATTTGCATATTACTCTTTTGATAGATAGGATTGTTGCTAATTATAATAATAATTCAGCATATTTGATTACCAGAACTTATCTTCTAACCCAAAGTTTATACCCTCTAACCAGTATCTCTTCTTTTGCTTCATCCCTTGATAACCACCCTGATACTCTCTGTTTCTACAAGAAAATAATCAAAAAGTCTAACATTCAAAAAGTCTTTCCTTAAGGAATTTGTGGTGTTTTAAGTTCTTTCCACTAAATGTTGTATAATCTGTGGAAATTATTTATTTTATTAAAAGCTATTGGAAAAAATGACTGACTGTATATGTGACTGTATATGTGTATGAGAGGCGGGTGTATGTTATGTGCTTGAGTAAATATGTAGTATTATGCATAAGTGCATATATCTTTATTTACCTAAAATGTTTTCTGCTGCATGGACTCTATTTTTCTGACCCAATTATTCACCATTAAATGTTATGAGGCCTCTGAATTTTTGTTCTAAAGACAGTAAAACAAGAAAGATGGAACATATACTTTGCAAGAGAAAGTAGATACAATTTGAGTTCTATTTTTGCTTTCATACAGCAACAATTAGCAAATACTAAATTGCACTCAATTATTGACTTCCTCCCTTTTTAGAACACCTGTGTGTTCTTCCTAAGGGTGGAAAGAATATTTCACTTGTTACATCCTCTAATTATGACATTCAAATACTGAGGATGATAGATAAAAATGACTCATATTTTGGTTTCTCATGAGGGGTCATAGGTCAGTTTGAGATTTATATACCTTATTAACCATTCAATCACATTTTTAAAACTGGTAAACTAAAAAAGAAGAGATTAAGATACTGAGATTTTAAAATCATATTTTTAATCTGGACAAAGAAATTGTCTAAAGCTATAAGTATGTTAACAGCAGAATAAAAATTGTTGCAAAAATACTGAAAAGTGTAGACTAAAATTATTCTAAAAGTGGACAAATTCACTTTGCAACTATTCTATATTAAACAAAGAATATGAACAAATAATAAACATGAGGTTGCTGCAAGCCAGAAGGTCACATTCTATAGAAAGTCAGTTACTAACTCACTATGGAACATTCCTGAAATTTTTCTGAATTCTGTTCTCTGTGAAAATTATTTGTTACTCTATACCTTGAACTTATGAGCATAAAAGTAAGTGCTAATTCTTAGGTCTCTTGTTTTATATAAAAACTAGAGGCCCAGTGCACAAAAATTTGTGCACTCGGGGGGAGGGAGGGGTCCCTCAGCCCGGCCTATGCCCTCTCA